ATTTGTATCTCAGCAGCTTTTTTTCAACCCAAACCCTCATGTTTTGGGATAGGCCGAATTAATATTGTCAAAATGACCATAAAACCAAAAGCAATATACATATATAATGCAATTACAATAAAAATCCCAATGACATTCCTCATAGAAATAGAAAAAGCAGTCATGAAATTCATCTGGAAAGATAAGAGACTCAGAATACATAAAGCAATCTTTAGCAAGAAGAATGAAGTAGGTGGCTTCACTATAACAATTCTTAATCTATAATACAGAGCAATAGTAACAAAAACAGCATGGTATTGGCACCAAAATAGACTTGTAGACCAATGGTATGGAATAGAGGACACAGGGACAAACCCGCATAATTACAGTTATATTAGACAAAGGTGCCAAAAACTTATATTGGAGAAAAGATAGTGTCTTCAACAAATGGTGCTGGGAAAAGTGGAAATCCACATGTAACAAAATGAAATTAAACTTCTATCTCGTACTATGCACAAAACTCAACTCAAAGTGAATCAAGGAGCTAGGAATTAAAACAGAGACCCTGCACCTAATAGAAGAAAAAGTAGACCAAATCTCCATTATGCCCCTTATTCCTGAATAAGAGTCCTATAGCATAAGAATTAAAATCAAGAATCAATAAATGAGATGAATTAAAACTGAAAAAGTTTTTTTTTTTTTTTTCTCATCAAAAGAAACAATCGGTGAGGTGAATAGAGAGCCCATATTTTGGGAGCAAAATTTTACCACTCACACATATCAGATAGAGCACTAATCTCTAGGATATATAAAAAAATCAAAAAGCTAAGCACCAAAAAACAAATAACCCAATCAAAAAATGGGCCAAAGAACTGTACAGACACTTCTCAGAAGATGATATACAATCAATCAACATATATATATATATATATATATATATATATATATGAAAAAATGTTCAACATCTCTAGCAATTAGAAAAATCCAAATCAAAACTACTCTAAGATTTTATCTCACTCCAGTCAGAATGGCAGCTATTAAGAATACAAACAACAATAAATGTCGGTGAGGATGTGGGGGAACAGGTACATACTCTTGCATTGCTGGTGGGACTACAAATTGGTGCAGACAATACAGAAAGCAGTATGGGGATTCCTTGGAAAACTTGAACTGGAACCACCATTTGACCCTGCCATCCCACTCCTCTATTTATACCCAAAGAACTAAAAAACAGCATAGTATAGTAATGCAGTAACATAAATGTTTATAGCAGCACAATTCACAATAACTAAATTGTGTACAAAACCTAGATGTCCTTCAGTAGATGAATGGATAAAGAAACTGTGATATATATATATATATATATATATATATATATATATACACACACACACACACACACAATGGAAAATTACTCAACATTAAAAGAGAATAAACTCACGGCATTTGCAGGTAAGTGGATGGAGTTGGAGAATATTATGCTAAGTGAAGTAAGTCAGTCCCAAAAAATCAAATGCCAAATGTTTTCTTTGATATGAGGATGCTGATCCATAATGTGGATTGGGACGTACTGGGGATGGAGGGTTGCGATGGGGAGCATGGGAGGAATGTAGGAACTTTAGGTAGGGAAAGGGGTAGGGAAAGAAAGAGACAGGACAGGGAAGTAGAAAAGATGGTACTTATCCCAAGTACATATATAAAAACACGAATGGTGTGACTCTACTTTGTGTACAACCAGAGACATGAAAAATTGTGCTCTATATATGTACTAGGAATTGAAATGCATTCTGCTGTCATATATAACAAATTGGAATAAATTCATAAATTTTAAAAAATCTATTGAACATTTTATTTTAATCCAACAATTTATAGTACTATACAATTTAATTATATAATATTAAGTATATGTAACAGGTGTTTTCCATAAAAATTATTATAGCATATTTTTATATTATGTAATATGTAATATATATGATTATATATTTAATATAAATATTAAAAAAATAAAGGTTCTAAGGCTTAAGATATCAATCTTGGCAAACTTATCTCATTTGCTTAACTATCAACAAAAACACTAGATAGCCTAATATTCTGATCTTTGATCTGTCTCAAGGGAAAGGCTACATGGATCCTAATGCCTTCATCAGAGAGAGTGGAGAGTTTTGGAAACTGTACTTTATTCAAACTAAGTGTTAATAAAAACTGACTAGAGATGTGGTAGTAGTTAATTCACTTTTTAACTATGTAAAATTATGGTAAGGATGGATTAAACTAAAATCACTTTGGGTTTTGGAACATTTTAGGTCTAGAAACTTTGATGTACTTCTTGAGAGCATTACTAATTTAGTGTGACTTATAATTTTTAACATAGGAGTAAAGGCATTTTAAATGCTACTAGCATAAATGCCTTCTAGTACCTCATATTTAATATTGTTTTTAGTAACCATGATTTCAATATTACTTCATTACGGTGCACTATGATGCAATGACCCAGTTCCCTAAACAGTTATACTTGTGATTTATTATTTGATTTGTTAAACAGATCTGCTGTAACTTGTCATCTTTGTTTGTACACATGTATAAGCCCCTTTACCAGGATAGGGCTTTTCATGGCTTGGAGGAAGGACATCTGTGAAGTGCGGTGAGAGTGTAGTCAAGCCAGAAATGTACCATGATCACCATTATCTAAATGTGGTCAGGCTAAAGCAGTTGTGCAATTTTCTCAAAAGACAATCTCCATCAACTCTGAAACTTCTCAAGTAGATACATGTGTTTATCTTTCCAGCCACATGTGAGTCAAAAAGTGGACAGTGACCAGTAGTAGTATTATTATTACTTGTGAATTTACTAAAAATGCAAAATATCAGAGACCATTTCATATTTGCATTTTAACAAGATCTACATATAATTTTGCACACATTTTGGTTTGAGAAACAGTTTTAACCAAGTCTTTCTTTTTATGTTGCATCCCTGGTGGTATGACCGAGTCAAACACTCACTATATTCCATCTAAAAAATGAAATGGATTTTGTAATATACAGTGCCTTTTTAGTGATTTGATCAGATATTTGCTCACTAGACTGTCAAACTCTTCATAATCTGTGTTCAAAGGAAAAAAAATTCAGACATAGAAGTTTAAGACCTGCAAGTGCCACAAGAGTAAACAGAAATGGAATTTTTTTTTTTGATCAACAGTGGTCCCAAAGCTATGTAAACCTATAACCATGGATGTTAAAGAGTCTCATCATAATTCAGAATCGTGTCACACTTGCTACTTTCTTTTTAGTTGTTCTTTGTTTGTAAGAATCTCCTACTGCTGGCCTCATGGTCCAAAAGAATCTTGTTATAGAGATTAAACCAAATTATTCTAATTAAAGGGAATTTTGTAATTAAGTATATTTTTTCAGGCCTTTTCCTTTCAATATCATAAAGGAGGTATATTTTATTCTTTTTGAATAAAATGAAAATAAACAAAATTCATGACTTTTGTTTAACTGCCAATTTTTATTTGTAAATATAAAAGCAGACMGTTTTTTTTGCTACTTTAGGGAAAAAAAAAGCAGGCATATAATATAGAACCTGAAGTTGATATTCTCCTTTAACTCACTAAATAAAGTATCTTTCTAATAAGGATCTGGTAACTTCTACAAATATCAACTATGAAATTTATATCTGCCCCTGTGGTATCAATCCCTTATTGCTTTGTTGGTGTTCTTTTAGTTTGTTATTATCATTAAAGTGTTTTTGCTTCCAGAAGCTGAGGTAAAATTGCACAACCATTAACTCTTAGATCATTTCCCATAGAGCTTTCTTCTAAGTTATTATTTTTCCTTAATAAATGCAAATTAAGTAATTATCTAGTTAAATTTCAACTAGGCATTATTCATTTGAGAAATTGTTGCTTTATCGTGCAAAGGAAGCATTTTTCCACCTTTGGCACTTTACAATAAACTCATTCTGATCTAAATTGATTGCTGTGGGATTATCTTGAAGTCATTAAAATATTGCTGTATTGACATTCACTGATGTCTTTAATTAGCAATTTCAAATTCCAGTGTTTGGCATTAAATATGAACCAATGTAATTTACTATTTCCCCATAGCTGTTATTCAGTTTTGTTTGTGCATCTTTTGAGTATATTAAACCATTATTTGAGAGGTTTTTTTAATATATTCAATCCATTGATGATTACAACAATTGCAGGTTAGCCTGTTTGTCTTTGTAATGAAGATATTATTGAGATTATGGATTTCTCTGGACCTGGGTTAGATAAAGAATATATTTTAATTTTATTTTATTATTTTCAAAATATTAAAATTCTTAAAATGTTGAATTTATCATAAATTTTAAACATCCATGCACACATAGAGCAATGATCTTTAGAAATTGGTCTTTAAATGTCAGATACTTCAATTCTCAGGGACAAAAACATTTTGATTTTGATTTCAAGTAAACATTGTAGAACTATTCTCAACTGTCCGTGGACCTTCTGTTTTGGATAATATCACACTGATAGTGTCACATCTAAATTCCCCCAAAAGAAAAGCTTGACAATGAAGACATTTCCAAAAATATTAAATCAAGCATTTTATTTGACTAGACCAAAGATACCACTAGGCTATTGAGATAGGAAAACTTTCTCTCCCTCCACACCCTACTTATTTTGAAGAAATAGAGTAAAGTTAGAGACCACACACTTTGGGTTGGAACAAGTTTTCATTTGTATTTCTATATGAAGACTCCTCCTTGATCCTCACTAAGTCACAGTGCCTAGGTAAACCAGCATCCTTGCTATCAAAAGGCAAAACAATATTAATTACAGAGGTTGTAAGAATAAATGGACAAAATAGTTCCATGAATAATATGAATAATATGAATAATATGATTCTGCCCAGATGGTAATAACAGGTGTGCTCTATTACCTTCTCTGCACAATTTCCCTCAAGAATGACAAGATATTCCAAATCTCCTTCTCCTTTGACTACCAGAGATTCATAAAAAGAAGCTTTTYTTTCTTTTTTTTTAATATGCAATGCTTCATAAATTTGGGCATCACACTCACATGGGGGCCATATTAATCTTCTCGTATCATTCTAATTTCAGTATATGTGCTGCCCAAGCAAGTACAAGGAACATTTCTTGATGCTTTCACAGACGGATCTTACATCAAGTCCCGAGTACCTGTTTATAGGGCTTCCCAAAATAAGGGAGCTTTTTCCAGGATGTGATTTGCTTACCGCACAGCTATAGAAAATTTAGAGTTCCGTAAACCTCTTTTATTTTTTACTTTTATTTTTTTAATGAGTTAGGGTCACTGGGAACCATTTCAACTACATGAAAGGTCACACTGGCCATATGGCTTTCAGAGCTCTCCATCAGTCAGCTGCGTGTTTCACCAGGGTCCTCTCTTTCCTCATTGTATTCCTTCCCCTTGGAACTTCCTTCTGGAAGATATCTTCACAGCTGCCTCTGTTGATGGCATTGTTTTCCTGACAGCACCAGCTCAAGGAAAACTTCTCAGTCCCTCTTCATCGCGTCAYTTGATGTCAGTCTTCTTGGCACTCAAGAAGAAATGGGGGCTGGGGATGTGGCTCAAGCAGTAGCGCGCTAGCCTGGCATGCGTTGCGCTGGGTTCCATCCTCAGCACCGCGTACAAATAAAAAAAAAGATGTGTCCGCCAAAAACTAAACATTAAAAAATTCTCTCTCTCTCTCTCTCTCTCTCTCTCTCTCTCTCTCTCTCTCTGAAAAAAAAAAAAGAAAGAAATGGCCTTATTTAGGAATGGATGAGTAATTTCTGTCTCCTCTTAAAGTTTGGAAATTCATTTAGGTGAACACTCCAATTTTCTTTTTCACTCTTGTAATCTTCATTGCACAGAATAATGCTCACATCATATGTGTTAAGTCATATATGTTAACTGATGAGCAGGTGAGGGTTCCAGTCTTTAGTCTTCTTAATTCCTTATATTCTGTCTGGCACCTGAATAGGCAATTGACTATGATTTATTTGAGTCTGATGATAAAATATACCTTACCAAACTGTTGTTATTGCAGGTACCTCAATAAACAAAAAGCCTAGATCTAATACATGAATCATRACAGATACCATCCATTTTAAATGCCAAAAAAAAATGAGTGCATATTTTAAGGTAATTTTATTCCATGAGTTAGAATATTTTGAAAGTTAAAAAAAAATCCACTAGATGGCTTAGAAAGTCAATTTCAGTGTATGTGTGATAATGCTTCTTTGTTTGACCAAATTTTGTTCAGGATTGACCCATCTCCTGTGCCTATCWGTACACTTATTTTGTAAAATCCTGTTTAAATACAAACTGGTTAATCAGTTTGGCAGTGACCTCCCACCCTGATCACTCTTGATATTGAATTACCCATTCTAAGCTGGGCACAGTAGCATATGCCTCTAATGTCAGCATTTTGAGAGACAGAGGCAGTCTTCCTGCCTTGGTCRTATCAGGGAGATCCTCAGCAACTAAAGGAGGCCCTGTCTTGAATTAAAAAAATAAAAGGGTTAGGGATGTGACTCATTACCCTGTCATTTCTTCATAAAGAATTTTTATAGTTTTTGTTTTCCCCTCTCAAAMTCATCTTTACTCCTGATGTTGTTTTTTAATAACTTTTTTTTTTAATCTATTTGCCTCCACTTTGTTCATTGGCTATAAAGTCCTAGCTGCTCCTGGTGTATTTGGAGTTGAGCCTACTCTCTTTTTCCTTTTGCAAAATCCCACTACCATGGTCTCTATACCTGAAAAGATGGTCCTGGTTAAATCTGCTTTATRGTACTTTAAGAAGTAATGTTGAATATTTTTTCTTTAACACATGATAAAGCATTGATATTCATATTTAATTTTTATGCCTATAACTTTGGATATTATGTGGATTGATACTTTTGAAAAGGAACTCCTACAGCTATTTTAGTCCTCCTGTCCCATTATACTTCATCTTCTTACTGCTTAGTTTTGAGCTCAAAATGTGATACAGGCTCCTCCTGTATGAATATTAGAGAATCCAATAATTATGGTTTAATAAAATAAAACTCAAGTGTGAGATTCATCAAGTAGAGAAATGTAGTTCAATTTAATAACACCAAATGGTCTCATAATCATTTCCCCCATAAAGGATCAAAAATGTCTTAACCAGGCTCATGCAGGTAGTTAAAAATATGCTCAGCACGATCACATGACAGCATAGAAATATCATCTAAATGAAATTTTATTGCTTTTTTTGTATATAGTAAAATTAGATAGGCAATTTGACATTTAGTATTAAATTCCTCCATGGTTGGACATAGAAACTTCGAAATAGAGGGCTAAAAGTATATTTAGGTCACTTGAATAGAACTGGCAATATCTAATTTTGTGGTAAATAGTCTTTAATTCTAGTGTTAGAGAATCTTCTCATAAAAAAGTTAATATTCCATAAAATTTCACATATATATATATATATATATATAGAGAGAGAGAGAGAGAGAGAGAACAATTTAGGCCAGTTGTGAGCATGGACACATTTCAAGAAATGAAAATTCAAATGTGGTTACTCTAGTTGTAGTTCTTAGTAGGAGTGAAATTGATTTTCCATTAACCTTATTAGTGCCAAAGATGCAAAATCAGAACATAGAAATGGAACATATCCTAAAGCTTCAGCAGAAAATATACTTCTAATTGAATTTGAAATTAGATGGTGTAATAAAAAGAAAAAGAAAATCACTAGAGTTACAACGAATTAACTGATTTTCTAGTTCCAGTTTGCTCACATATGAAGTTAGACTTTTAGAGTGTGAGGGTAATTCATTGAACCTCATTTTCTCACTGATCGACTGGCAAGAGTACTACTTTCTCCTAAGCAGTATTATAAAGATCAATGTTCATATGATTATATGCTAAGTGTTATTCAATGTGCAGTTTTCAATAATTTACTCTAGATATTATCTATTGAAAATGACATCAGAGATAAATAAAAGATAGACTGGAAAGAAAATTAATACTCATATTGCTTACATATACTACTGTTTTGTAAGTATAAAATAAATCAAATTATTAGGAATAGTAAGTAAATAAATGAATTAGTCAAGGTTAATAGATGCAAAGTTAATATACAGAAATCATTTCATGCATATTGTAGTAGTAGTAGTATTCACCAATAATATGTGTATGAATTTACATGTAATTTAGAAAGAGAAACTAATAAAATACAATGAAAGATGTACAAAAACCATAAAGTAAAATATTGAATATATTCTTAAAAATTCTATAAAATTATATATGAAATTATAATTGGTTATAGCTATCATTTTAGTGATTTAAATTAACTTCAAATATAATTAAAAAATCAGTGGAAGGGGGACTGGGGTTGTAGCTGAGCAGTATAGTGCTTGCCTTCAATCTGAGTTCGATCTTCAACATCAACATCACAGATAAATAAATTAAAGTATTGTATCCATCTACAACTAAAAAAAAATTTTTGTAAAAATCAACAGAGGCCTCAGGTTTTGGCTCAGCAGTAGAGCGCTTGCTTAACACTGTGAGTATTGGGTTAAATCCTCATCAGCACATACAAATAAATAAAATGAAAGGTATTGTGACCACCTACAACCAAAAAAATATTTAAACAAAATCAATAGAATTTCTCTAAAAGTGCAAGCTTTATTGTTGGGCAGTTGTCAAGACGATTCTAAACATCATAATGAAATATTAAATATCAAGTAAATCCATGACAATTTTGAAAAACAGAGGTTGAGGACTTTCACAATCAGCATTCAGATGCAAATTCCATAATTAATATGGCAGGGAAGTATTGATAAATATATATATATATATATATATATATATATATATATATATATGTGTGTGTGTGTGTGTGTGTGTGTGTGTTTCTATTGTCTGTGTGTGTGTTTAATGGAAGAGACTACAGACTCTACAAGCCTGACAACCCTGAATTGTCTCCTGTAATCAACTACTGTAGAGTAATAAAAATGAACCAGGTATTCTGACAAGACAGTATTGTGAAGCTTCTGCAGAAATTTTATATGTGTAAAGCATAAGAATTTGTCTAGTTTGTTATTCATGAAATAATTATAGGGCTAACACAAAGTATTGAATTTATCAAATAAAATTTTATAAATTAAGGTTATTGTTTGGTAATATTAATAGTTTTGGTTGCAATATAACCAATATAAGTATAAATAATTACAATAAGTCAGCTTTTCTTAGATCTTTCCTTTCCACATGGGGCATAAATTCATTGTTTCAGAGTAGGTGATATCACTAATGGGGTACACAAATTACCTTACAGAAAGAGAAACAACTAATTTATGAGGCATTTTTAATTATACTCCCAATAATTGTACAGCTTACATGACATTTGACAAGCACATATACCTCATAAATCTACAGATTAAAGATCGGCTTCCAATYTGTAACCATAAAGCAGAGGAGTGATGGTGCACACATTTCCTAGATAAAGACTCACCTCTCAGAAATTAGCAGAACTCCTCAAATCAACAGATCCATTATCCAATGCTTACATAAAGATTTCCTTCCTTCTTTCCTTTTCCAGGAACAAACATTACTTTCTGTGAGAAGAGGTTACTTGCCAGTTGCCTTGGTATCCTCATACACATATTTGTGCATATATACATACCTATATGAATTATGTACACTTTCATATATATAAAGAAGTTAAATAATCATTGTAATGGATTTTGTAGGAAAGAATYGTGTACTAAATGTTGGCATATGAAGGAGAAATTCTTTATACTATTACATTTTTACCTGTGGCTTTTGTCCTATTTTGTATTCTTAATATTTTAAAAATTATTTAATATTTGCATTTTAAAAATCCCCTTTAAATGACATCAAAACAAACATAACAAAAATTATTTGAACAGTTAAATTTATAATAATAATATATGTATTATGTATTGTGACAACCATTGAGATGCGCTTTTCGTATCTCCCTTTAGGTAAGCATTTGCTCAGTTGTAAGGAATGCTAGTGGGCTGAATCCAGCAGCACCTTCTATCAGCAAGTCAACATTCCAGGAMAGCTTTCAGCTATTAATTTTCAAGGGAAAGGATTTCAGTGCCTGGCTATTTTATCTTTCACAATAAAA